TCAGATGCTCACGTGGATATTAGGTTAACCTTGCTTAACCCTAATCTGTTATGATGAAAGCCCAAGACCAAGTCTTTAGGTTAACTTTGGTTAACCCTAGCTATTTTTATGGAAGCCCAAAATGAAGAATAGACTGCATATATATTTCTCACGAATCCTAATGGTGTGCAGCGCTTTTTAGAGAAGATTAATAAGGCATTTTTTAGTTGTGATAGTTTTAGTAATTACTGTGAGCCAAGCAATTATCACTTGATAAGTGACTTGGAGTAGGATTTGGTTGTAAGGGTTGTTTATCACTCAAAGCTTTGAAGCACGAGTGTTGTGTCTCTTGATTAAAGCTTTGAAGCAAAATCAAGCGTGTGTATTGAAGAATGTCTTCATAATCTTATTAATCAGTAGATTAGTATCACTGTTGTGATTGAGGGGGAGTGAGTAGGAACTCAGGTTTAAGTAGGACTTAGATTGAAGTTGCATTGGGTAGGTCTTAAGTGAAGGAGATAAACTGATTGGTTTATTCCTAAATTAATACCTCTTATAGTGAATTTCCTCCCTGGCTTGGTAGCCCCCAGATGTAGGTGTTGTTATACACTGAACTGGGTTAACAATTGATTGTGTTCTTTACTGTCTTTTAAATTACTGTTTGGTTTGTGTACAATTTGTCAGATACGGTGTCATAACATTCACTGTGACATTAAGTATCTGTTGCCAGAATTTCACTGTTAATCGCAGCAACAATAGGATCGTAATCCTCAGGAAGAGCATCGAGAACTACCTCAATGAGATTACGGAGAGGAACTGGATCTCCGATTGACACCAACGCCTCGCTGATGTCACGAACGTGAACCATGAACTCAACAATGGAACGCGAACCTTTCTTCAGGTTGGGAAGATCAGATCGTAACTGTTGCGCCTTGGTGGTGAGCAGAGTATTGAAGTAACGGTGAATTTCTGACCATACTTGTCACGAATACGTGCAGTCGACGAGTTTCGGAAGAAGAGAATCGGAATTCATGGAGAGTAGCCAGGTGCAGATAAGTGCATCCTGCTGTTCCCACTCCAGATAATTTGGATTTGCACCGCCGGTGACTAGATCTGCATCGGGAAGAAGACGCTGTGGAACGCACGGTACAGTGACGAACCGTTGAAGACAATGACCACGAATAACGCCTTCGATTTGCTGTTTCCACTGTTTGGAATTCTTCTCATCTAATTTGACGGAGATGAGATGTGAGAGTTTCACAGGAGATGAAGAAAAAACACCGTCAGTGCTGAAAGGCGATGCCATGGAAGCGCTTAGATCGAAAAAGAAAAAAAGAAAAAAAGAACAGCTCAAGATACCATGTTAAGAGAAAGAGAAGAGAGAGATGAAGAAATCTGTTATCGTATTTCATTCACCCAAATAACAGTACAAGGCATCCCTATATATATAAGGAAGATAAAAGGCTAGGCACTAAGAAACCCTATGTCAGTGGTACAAAGTAAATTATAGAAAAGGACCCCTATAATAAGCAATATGTATATATCTCTAATAGTTATGACATGAGCACGTAGATGTGATCTCATCAAGTGTGGGAATGCCCTGCCATTTTGGCCCACAACTGCACATCGCAACGGTATAAATGACACACATGGTCTAAGTCATAAGTGATTTACGTCCTAGTTGTCAGGCCTACTCCGATTCAAGCATACATCAAAATCACAATGTGTATCAAGCCACAAAGGCACACATCAAGCCACATAAATACACAACACCGAACGTTCAACCGGAACGACGGACAATCACAATTATCCCATACAATACCACATATTGCATAACACATACAACAATCCATCCGAACGTTCAATTCGGAACGAACGGAACATACGCTAAATCATGTCATAGCATTTATCATATGAAGTGACTTCAACTTAATCATATACATATTCATGTCATAACGAATAACGATCACTAAAGTTAAAGAGGCGTCTGATACCTACCATGGTACGGAACTGCACTCAAGGGATCTCAATAATACAGTTCTGTCTAGGAGGGCACACTGAGCAGAGCCTCCCGTGTTAAGCGCGGTCTATAAAATAATTAAATTTCCAAGTCTCAGGAGGGCACGCTAAGCGGAATCATCGCGCTAAGTGCGATCTATGAATTCTCAAAATTCAACTCCTAGAAGGGCGCGCTGAGCGCGACTCCGCGCGCTAAGCGCAATCTGCGGAAAACACAAAAACACAGCGCAGTGACAGTTCTCCATGGTGTTCCAAAATTTCATTTTCACCATTCAAATCAGTACCTATCATAAGAAATCACGAATTTAAGGTGAGAGTTATGTTATTCATCCATGAAAAACTAACATGCATTCAACAATTTGATCTTTCAAACCCTAAACCCCAACATGTCATAAACCTAATTTCCCAAAGTTTCTAATCTATGGGACATGTTGATGAAGTAGAAGTAAAAGAGGATGATGATGGATCAAGAATTTGACACATGCAAGAGATGATGAAGATGAGCTTGAAATGAGTTTTCCTCTCTTCCTCTTCTTTCACGCCTCTTCTCTCTTTCTATTACACAAAATCTGATTTTGTTTTGGAATAATGAGAATAGAATAGCCAAACAAACCCTTACTATCCTAATTTAAGTGGAAAAGACTATAATACCCCTCATTTGTATTAGTATTATCTCTAATTTTACTCTTACTACTAATAACAAGTGTTTCGTACAATTATTTTTTACTAATCTTTTCACAAATTAACTAGTAGAAATAATTTCATTAAAAAGATAATTACACTGGGTATTACACTTAGACTTGGTGAAACTCTTTGGCAACGAGGAAGACTTTGTTGACATCTAGTTGTTGAAGAGGCCACTTATAGGAGAGAGCAAAAGTCAACATAAGCCTTATATTGATGAGTTTGACTACAGGAGAGAATGTTTCGTTGAAATCAAACCCTTGGATTTGGTGAAACTCTTTGGCAACCAGGAGAGCCTTGAACTTATTGATGGTGCCATTGAGTTTTCTCTAATCCTATAAGTCCACTTGCATTCATAAGACTTTCCATTTGGAGGCAAGGGAAGTACGGAACAGGAGACCTAATGTATGCTATCATATTTATATGTTTGCATGTTACTCCTTCCGTTCCACAATAATCGCACATTTAACTATTTAACACAAATTAAGAAAAGGTAAATGAAAAAAAGAGAATTATATTTTTCTATGAAGCACGGACACTTTGAAAAGTAAGATCGCAGTGTCTGACACGTGTCCTTCATGGATGTCAACACGTGTCCGACACCAGTATGACACCCGTACGACATGTGTCGGAAAAGTCAAACAAGTGTCGAAAAAGTCAGACAAATGTCTTAAAAAATTAGTATTTTTTCTTTGCTTCGACACATTTTAAACCGGTGTCCGATACTCATGACACTCATACAACACGTCCGATAATTCAGACAAATTTTCTTTAAAAAAATTGTGTTTTTCTTTTCCTCAACACACTTTATACATTTTCTATAAAAATCTCACGCACGATCAAAAGGTATAAACATGTATCGAAGCAATGTTATCAATGAAGAATTAAAGACATTTATTTTGATTAGAATATTTTTAACTTTTTTGATATTAGATGAATACATGAAATTCAAATACTATATCATATATAGCGGTGTTAGTGTCATAGATTTTTTATATATCTGTGTCGGAGTTTCCGTGTCCGTGTCGGAGTCTGTACTTCATAGATATTTTTACTAATTTATCCTTATTAACTGTTGGTGTATTATTACTACAATACATGCAAAGTGAAAATTAATAACCGAAGAGTGCTGTAGATTGTATTAATTAGATAATTCAATTGAAAAAAATTAATTAAAATAAGTGACAATTTTTTGGGGACCAATATATTTTGCAAATGTTACAAATTATTATAGGACAGAGGGTATTATATAACCAACCTATGAAATACAGCACTCCCCCGTCAAAATAAATCGTATGCATCATATACACCAAATTTGTTTCATACATAACATATATGTGACCTGCAATTGATCTTTTGAACTAATAAGACTAGTGGTAATGCTTCCAGATAAAATGATCTCTCTAATAAATGTTCTCTCTGATAAAATATCAATCTATCTCACTCTACTTATTCCTCTCTTGATTATCTAATATCAGTGTAATCTGCTTAAACTAAAATCGAGCTGGTACAGTAAATATTTCAGTCAGATGAGCTCCTAAGTACCCAGTGTCATGTCTCTATTATGGTTTTGTGTTGACTTGGCATCCTCATTTATGTTTCCTACTTTTCTAGGAGTTAATGTTATCCCTAATGAATATACAATTGAGAGAATGGGATATCCCATCCATAATAATGTCTTCCGATCAACATATGGGTATCCCACAACTTGATTATGATTCCCGTTTTTCATGGATAAGGCCATTCAAGGAATTGTTTTAATTTACATCAACATTACGACATTCCAATATCCTTTGTTAGGTCAGGAATATGAGCGAAGGACAGTGAGATGATTTAGTTTAGGTCAGTAATATGAGCGAAGGACAGTGAGATGATTTAGTTTTGTTTAGTCCGCTGGATCTAAAAGTGGCTGCCTTGAGATGATTTAGTTTTGTTTAGTCCTCTGGATCTAAAAGTGACTCTGTGAAAGTGACTGAAAAGAGAAATGGGGTGGGGAAACAAAGGCTGAGGCAAGAAACTAGAGATGAGACACAGTACAACACAATACAATTTAGCCAATGGATAGTGGGTCCACCAAGTTTACGAGTTAGAGTTGACTCTCATTAGATATAATGTTGAGAAAGCAAAAAACAAGATGAATCCATGTCTATCACACACACGCACACAATTACAATAAATACAAAGGATTCCTGTTATCCTATTCACTATATTTATACACTACTATACAACTATAATATTTCATTTCTTTCAACAAAGCAATTGTATCTGGAATCTCATTTTATGCCCATATTCTTATGCTGAGTATTCTAATTTATAAGGCAAGAGTTCCCGTGGGAAGAATTATTTTGGAATTGCCCGCTGGAATGTTGGACGATGACAAGGGTGATATTGTAGGCACAGCAGTTCGGGAGGTCCATTTCTCTCTTACTCTCCCTTTCTAGCTGAATTGACAGTGCATATTTTATTTGCATCACTAATGGGCTTTCCTATTGAAATAACAACTTTCAGAATACTATTAATGACTTCATGAAGTTGTGACTCTGACAGGTTGAAGAAGAGACAGGCATCAAATTGAATGTAGAAGACATGGTTGACCTCACTGCTTTCCTGGACTCTTCAACTGGACGCACAGTTTTCCCATCTCCTGTACAGAACCTCAATCTTCTCTTTGTTGAATTTCATGATCAATGTTTTCAAATAGTTGTGTTATTGTGTTGATAAAGAAGCTAATAATATCATGTCTTATGCATTGCAATTTTCATTGTTTTGCAATACTTTTGCATTGTAAACGAGTATAGGTTAGTATCACAATACTATCTGTTTACATTTAAACGTTCTATATTTTGACCTCTTTCTCCTTTTTTTCGGGTGCTAGGGAGGATGTGACGAAGATATCAGTATCTTTCTGTGCAGAAAGCATGTTGATAAAGAGGTTATCATGCATCTACAGGGTAAAGAGACTGGCCTCCGCGAACATGGGGAACTGATTAAGGTGCGTGTGGTACCATACAAGAATCTTTGGCGCGCTACAGCAGATTGCAAGGTTCTGGCGGCTGTTGCACTGTTAGAAATGGCAAAGAAAGAAGGGTTATTGCCTTCTTTGGCAACCTAATTGTAATGCTACAGAGCAAGGACTTTTTGTCAAAGACTAAAAACAGAAGAAATTATTGGAGAGACTTTGCACTGGTTGATTTATTGTAATTTTCATTTTCTATAATGTACGGCACCATTTTGGGAGCTTGTTATTAGAAGAAGCAAGACATGAGAATTTCTCTTTACACCACCACTGAAAATTCAAAAATATCTTTCGGATATGCACATCCAAACGCACTTTTCGATATGTTTCGGATGTGCATATCTGAAGACACCTCTTTTTAACATGTTTTAATACTTAAATGTTGAATGTAAAATTTTAAAGATTGTTTCGGATATGTACATCCGAAATCACCTATACAAATGTTTCGGATATGCATAATCGAAACTTCTTGTTTGTGTCATTTTTGTTTAAAATTATATCATTACAGATACCTTATAAACGGACAAATTTTTTATGATTTTTTCGAAAATATGAAACGAACATAACAATACGGCATAACGATTAGATTAGATATTCACACATAGGAAAAAATAATTTAGTACATAAGTTATTTGGAAAGTGCGTAATGTCAAAATATTATATCGGTAATAAAAACAATACATAATATAGGCTACTGTTACTGCGTATGCTTAATCCTAACCCCCTGTGACCTCCTCTGCCTCCTATACTGCGCCGCACTGGATGCCTCCCTAACCATCCTCTCAACGATGGCAACCACCTCAGGACCGCCCATCTCGATAATCTCATAATCCAATGCCTTCTGTCCAAGTAAGCGAATGCTCTGATAGATCGACAAAAGATCAGTGGCATGGTCATCCTCGGCCTGTTGGTTCTCTAAGAGCTTCTCATGAGCTGGCCTAGGTGGACGCCCAAGACCATCCGGTGTCATGATATGGCGTGACACGTTAAAGAACTATGTCACGTAACCCTTTGCACAATGTCAACTCTGGGATGCCAGCATCATCCGATACTCCAGTGGCACCAAATGATTCTCTCAATCCTGAAACATGCCATCAAGATCCCGCCAGACTATGGTGTCAGAGCAGTCTGAAAAAGAGAACTCAATATCTCCTGCACTTAGCCAAATTGTCGGATACACCGCCCCGGAAGATACCTGACTATAAGATTCTACCCACATGCTAGTCACGCCGAGTATAATGAGATAGGATCGAATGAGACAACATCCCTGTCATCCTCAAATGGCGTCCATTTAATTTCATCATGATTAATACAATCAAGATACACCCGGTAAGGCGACACTTTGTGATTCCCTCTGTGGAGTACACACTTTGCAGCCCTTGGCATGTCGTGAGTATAAACCGAATCTGGATCAAAATCATGAATGCGGTGGAAGTGAGAGATTATCCAGCTCTGAAATAACAACTAGATAATATGTAAGTACAAATTATTAAAAAAATTAAATTAACGTTAATAGTTGAAATGAAAGATACAATGAGGAGTGTGCAAGAGCTAATGAGTTGTCTCGTCCTCTAGTTTGAAACTTCATTCAGTTTCTGGTAGAAGTATACTAAGATGACGGTTCCCCAGTTCCACTCACTAACTGTATTCAGATCTATAAAATACCAGAGGTATATCACATCTCGGTAGTAGGCACTTTTATCCACAAAGAGGGACATGTCAACCAAAAACATGAAGTAACACCGTAAAATACAATCTCTGTAATACTAGACAAAAACCTCGTCACCCTTATCCTCGGCCCTTGCTCCTGCAACCAGATGCTCCTCATATAGTTCCTTTAGGTAGGAGAACTTTGCATGTGACCCATTTGTGGTTCTACAATCTTCAGCTGCCCTATATGGATAAGTTCTCAGATACTCAATCACCCATTCAACTGTTTCAACTCGTGGTACCTTGTGATAGTTAAGTAACCTACCTTTGATAGGTAGGTGGAGCAAGCAAACAACGTCATCAAGTGTGATCGTCATCTCTCTAACAGGAAAATAGAAAGACGACGTCTCTTTGTGCCACCTCTCGACAAATGCACCCTGCATATCGTGGCTTATAATGTTGTAACCAGTACAACATAGTCCAGCAAGTCCGGATCTAACCATGGCCTCATGGGACCAAGTATTCGCAGGTATAAACAATTCAAATATTTTTCGCGAGTGAGTCACAAACTTAATTGGCAACCGTTCCTGAAACAAAACAAAATAATAAGCGTTAAATTTTTATTTTTTAGTAAACCTTTAAAATGAAAAAATGCAACTAAAAATATACTTCTCTATCTCAAACATGTCGAGCGGCATGTTCATTATAGTAGATCAAGAGTAAGATGTCATAAGGCCTTCCTGGTTCGCCTCCTCGAGTACCTCAAAATACTCGGGTACATCATCCCCCTCGGGTATCTCCTCGAGTACCTGCTCATGCACACGAGAGATAGATGCCTGAGACAGACGACTCCTCAGTGCAGAAGAAGAAGAAGAAACTCCAGGAAATTTCTTCCTTCGTATCCGACCCCGTCCTCGAGGCCTGTTAACCTGTTGCTCAACTCTCTCTCGTCGAACAGAGGCAGTCTGGCTTGACCTATCTTGTGTCAAACGATTGGACGAGGCTTGATTGCCAGCCATCTTCCTAAAAAATTAATTATAATTGTTAATATCAAGGTTTTAAAAAAAAGCAACTCAGGCAAGAATTCACATGTGCACTTCTGAAACCGGTCTAGGAAAATTTCAGATGTGTACATACGAAACCACATGCAAATATACATTTTCAAGAAGTAACTTTTTCTTGTCCTAAATCATCCAAATACCTTTTTTTTTGTCACCCAAACACCAACATTTAATTATACTAACAACAATCTACACAATATCATTTCTACTAACTAACCTAATACACTATTATAACATTGCATAATGAATCAAATAAAAATGAAGGAAACTTACACAAACTTGGAGCCTTGAAAGTGAGTTGGAATGACTTGAAAAGAGTTGAAATGAGGAGATGGGTGGAAATGACTGAGTTGTTCAACTTTGGATAGTAGAAATATATGATTTGAAGTAGAAATGTAAAGTTTTTACGTTTAAATAGAAATGAATATTTTCTGTTAATGGTTTTGAAAACAACAAGATGACTTCAGATATGCATCTCCGAAACTATAAATTATAGAATGAATTTAAATATACACATATGAAGTCACTCTTTTTTTGACAAAATAAAATGACTTCGGATATACACATGCGAACACACCTGTTATTGTCAAATTCTGTACGTTCGAATATGCATATCCAAAGTCTGGAGTATTTTGAAATTTTCAACAGAGATCTAGAAGAAGTGCATTATATGTTAAAAAGAAATTCTCACAACATATAATAGCCATCAAGAGCTTTTTTTTTAAGGTAAAATTACATTAAGATTTCTTAAATTATCTTTGTGCAACACTTCTTTACATTTTTTTTAACAATTTGTTCTTTTTAATTGATTTCTACAAAAAAAAAAATTCACATTTTGAACATTTAAAAATTTGTGTCAGTTGTATTTTTAAATACACTTCATTACTTTCATACCACTCAATAACTATATCCACAATTAGAATATTCACACTGTTTAAAAAGAGTAACATTGCACACGTTTGAAGTTGGTAAAAAATAACTTAAATAACTAACCTATTATCCAAAAATAACTTAAAGATCTTTGGTGTACTTTTGACTTATATTATATTTTTGCTAACAATAATTTAAAATGCTATTATGATTTAAGTTCTTATTTTTCATGAAACTATCTTAGAACTGTAACCTATGGATATAATACATAAGAAACCTACAATGCAACAATCTCCTAGAAGATTGAGTATGTCGTTTGTGACCCCAAAATCAATGAAGACTTGATGAATAACTTGTTTAATAAGAAATTGCAAGCCATGGAATGTGGCAAGACTTTTCTTAAATACTTGAGAACTAAAGGTCAATTTTTCATTTACAGAGGTACTAGAGTTAATACTAATGGAAGTTTTATATCAAATAAAGATTGTAACAAATCTTTTTGGAGGTTAAGCTTCCACTTAAAGGGATATGTGCCGAGAGTCGAAAAAGTTTCATGCAAAGCTGTCGTAGCATGATCAACTACTAAGCATTGGAGTTTTAAAAAAATTGAATTATTACAACAGAATTGCCTTTGCATGAATGATAAGAATTGACTACCTATAGAATTTTGAAGGACTGGTAGACTATGTTCAATTGCCTTTTATAATAGAATAATGAAAATCCTGAAGTTTACATATGATATGGTAGAGAATTAAATAGAATCAAGGCAGATTTTATAATTGTACTTTGTGATTCCTATCTTGAAAAGGAACAAATTATATTACATGATTTATATAAGCTGTTTGTGGAAACACATTATTGAAACAGATATGTATCCTTACTAAAATAATTTTGAAACAATTATTAAATGCTAAAACATCAATAGTAATTAAGGAATAGAGGGAGCAAATTAAACCATCCTTACCATGCTGTTCACAAAAACAACTTCATAACTTATGTAACAAGTAATATTTATGGTATACAAGATCTTCTTAAAATTTGAAGTGCTTGACATCAAAATTACAAAGTTTTATTTTCCTTAAACTACTTTATCAGAACTTGCTAGTAACAAAATCTGTGTCAGTTGCCTCCCATATGGTGGTGCCATCACAGGTACAGAGTTTTTTGTAATTCTCACCCACTGCTGCACTTCTAGCAACTACTGCAGCAGCTATACCATGTACTGATTTATCTTCAGTAGCATGTACCACAATAGATCGTCCAATAAGATCAGCTACCCTCAGCTTTTCTTTGATCCCAGTGTAGAAGGCCTCACCCTTTTCATTAGCATCTAGTGTTCCCAGGTCACCCAATGGCTGAAGATCCAATCAAGCAACCTCCTTAGTTGTCTTTGATATCATTAATGACAATATATAAACTAACTTCTTTTAGAAAATAAGAAGCTTCTTCTAATCTACTCATTAACTTTCAGTGTTTAAACTTTGCTTAATTATAACTCAATTTTAGAGTTCAATTCATACTTTTAAATTTTAACACGTCATATGAAATTTATAGACAAAGAAATTGCGGGTTTTCATTCACATCATATATTTTGATAATAGTATCCTTCATGGTTTAAAAGTTTCATTATCTGCAACTTATGCATCTCCTGTAATTTTAAATACTTCTACTCTTGCATATTTCTCAAAGTTTCTTAAATAGTATGCAACATACAGAATACTTGCTAATATATATTATAAAGGCAGGTCATGCATCAAGTACATTATGCTTTTGTCTGATCCATGCAAACTACCAAATTTTGATCCATGCAAACTACCAAATTTAGTAAGAATAAGCCTTTTATAATTGATGTTCAATAATAGATAGGGATGGTTCAGTTAAAAGAAAAAACAAAACTGAACTCCGACATGGGTGCCAATCAACTGTTTTTATTTTTTAAGAACCAAACTAAACTGCTTTTAAATTAAGTGAACCTTCCAAGTATAGTCAGCCTCAATACAGAAATCCTCAAAGAACTATATTAGACATCAAGGTGCATCCACAAACCTTCTGATTCCAAAAAATAATTCAACACCCTATCCATTTTTAGTGTTTATAAGTAGCATTTATACCAGTCAACAATTCTTAAAAGCAATTTTTTACTGCAAAACAGAAGTCGTTTAATTCTAGAAGATACAGGAAAAGCAAACCTCTGTAGTGTTTTCCTTGTTGGGCGGATTAAACACTTTACCAGTGCTCGCTGCACCTCTAGTCAGATCACCAAACTCATTAATAGACCAAGAATGCTTCCCTGGTGACAGACCGCTGAAGTTTGCTTCAATTCTAGCTAGTTCCATACTTACTTGAGCCAGGCGAACAACACCAAAAATATCCGGGCCTTTGAATTCGGAAACAGCCGCAGATATTAAGAAATCTGTAGAGCCAAAGGACAATTTAATTTAATCAGAACAGATAAGAGTGCAAGACACTAAAAACCATAAAAACTATTAACAGAGTTTGAGTTGTTTATTGTGTAACGAGTGCTACAACATGGTTAACAAATACAACAAAATCAAGAGACGTCACAAACTAAGCAAATATCTGTTTCTAAGGGAATAAAAATTGATAAATCATCACTGCAGTGCAATCTAAGCAAAGACAAGCCCAAGTCATATTAGGTCAATAAAGAGAGCATTCAAACAAGTTACTATAAGAACAGAAGGGGGGAAACATGTTGAGTGTAGGAAGGATGAACGACAAATCATAGTGAATTCGAGTTGAATATCAAATTAATTTGCAACTTTGTTTTTTTAACAAACTATGCTGCCAGTTGTACAAAACCGAATAGTTTCCTTCTCAGTACAACAAAAACATCCAATAGCTCACATTCACTGATGAATACACATTAGATTCCAAGAAAATTAATATGATCATCAATATGCAAGGGCGTGGAGAAAATAGCAATCTAGTGATCCTTATTTCTACATTAGACTCTTAAAACACAAGTATAAAAATATTTCTGCATTAGATCTTCAAATGCTTCAGTAGAAGGAAACCAATGTACTACAGAATAAGTAAAATAAATGTGAAAAATAAGAATGCTACTGTTTTGAATGTGCTTGAGATTCAATGCTCTCAGCATAATGCTTAATTTATAATCATGTAGTTACAACTTACAAGGATAATAATTATGTGCAACTTACAAAAAAAAGGAATTAAACTAATACAAATTATCAAGATACATAGAACTTAGTATGCAATGAATTAACTAGAAAAATGTAGAATTAACTACTTGGAAAATGCAGAATTAAATTATTAGAATCTCGGACACTCCCTCTCAAGCTGGTGAATAGGTATTTTCCATTCCCAGCTTGGCCACAATTTTTTCAAAATTTGGGCAGCTCAATCTCTTGGTGAAGACATCCGCAAGTTGACCTTGTGAAGGAACATAAGGAGTGCAAATCAAACCACAATCAAGTTTCTCTTTGATAAAATGTCTATCCACCTCAATGTTTTGTTTGATTATGTTATAAACTGGATTGTGAGCTATACTAATTGATGATTTATTATCACAAAAGAGCTTCATAGGTCCATCCCATTTAATCTTCAAGTCTTCTAAAATAATCAACCAAAGTAATTCACAAATACCTTGTGCCATAGCTCGAAACTCAGCTTCACACTGGATCGGGCCACAACATTCTGCTTTTTACTCCAAGTTATGAGGTTTCCTCCGAGAAATGTACAATACCCTGTAGTTGACCTCTGATCAATAGCTGAACCTGCATAATCAGCATCAGTATATGCCTCAAGAGTAGCACTTCCATTCCTTTTAAACAATATCCCTTTTCCTGGAGTTCCCTTCAGATATTGTAAAATCCTGTGAGCTGCAAGTAAATGAACTTCCTTTGGATTGTGCATAAATTGACTAACCACACTAACACCAAATGCAATATCTGACCTTGTATGGGAAAGGTAAATTAGTCTCACAACCAATCTTTGATACATTTCCTTATCCACCACTGCACCTTCTTCCACATTACCTAACGTATGGCTTGGATCTATAGGACTTCCCACAGGTTTACAAGCTAGCTTACCTGTCTGTTTCCATGAGAAAATCTATGATATATTTTTGTTGAGATATGAAAATACCCTTTTTTGAATGAGCCACCTCTATTCCTAAAATATACTTCAGCCTCCCAAGACTTTTCATTTCAAACTCTTTTGCTAAATGTTGAGTCAAGACTTGTTCCTTCCAATCATTTCCAGTCACAATAATGCCGTCAACATATACCAACAACACTGTAACTCCCCCTGAAGAAGAGTGCTTAATAAACAGTCTATGATCTCCATTACTTTGTTTGTACCCTAAGGCTGTCATAGCCTTAGGAAACCTTCCAAACCATGCCTGAGGTGATTGTTTCAATCCATATAATGCTTTTCGCAACTTACAAACTGAATTGACTACAACATTATTCCCATATCCAGGTGGAATCTCCATATAAATTTCTTCTTCAAGCTCTCCTTGCAAAAATGCATTTTTCACATCAAATTGTTGTAACTCCCACCCATAATTGGCAGCAAGGGATAATATAACTCAAACTGTATTCATCTTTGCTACAGGGGCAAAGGTTTCTGAATAATCAATGTCATAGGTTTGTGTGAAACCTTTAGCAACCAGTCTTGCTTTGTACCTCTCAATTGTCCCATCCGTCTTGTATTTTACTGTATACACCCACTTGCAACCAACCAGTTTCTTTCCTTCAGACAAAGCAACCAACCGCCATGTTTTATTCTTTTCTAATGCCTCCATTTCTATATCCATAGCATGCTTCCAATTTTTATCAGATAATGCCTCAAATGCATTAGTGGAAATTTGGATGGTATTTAAGTTTGCAAGAAAGGCTTTATGGGCTTGAGAAATTTTTTGATGTGAAACATAATTTGAAAGTGGATAAAGTGGTCTTTTTGTACATTCTCTAACTCCCTTTCTAATGGCAATTGGTAGGTCATGGTTATCTTCAATTGTTCGGTTTTGTGTTTCACTTTGTAGGGCTGAAATATCATCTTGTTAAATTGAAAAATCAGAATTTCTTACCTCTTTTGAAGGGCTTGGGTCGATTTCTTAGACATTTGTTGATTCAGGAGTGGCCTTCAATCTTCTACTATACACCAAATTCTTTTCAAGCTTATCATTTCCAGCTCTGTTTTCAACCACAAATTCATTCTCAATTCTATTTCCTGCCACTATTTCATTTTTAGATTCATGTCCAAATCTACTTGAAGCTACTTCTCTTCTTGAATTGAGCTCATTGGAATTTGTTTCAAGATTTGGAAGAATAAGAGTTTCAATCCTTATCTTCAATAAGATGCCACCCTTGAAGATAAGGTTGTATGAAATAGGCATCTTCTTCATGAAATGTAACATCTCGAGACACAAATATTTTTTTTGATGGAAGGTGGTAACGTTTATATCTTTTTTGAGTAGTAGGATATCCAATAAAGACACATTTTAGAGCTCTAGGATCAAGCTTTCCCCTACCTTCACGGTGGATATGAACAAACGAGACACACCCGAAAATCCGTGGGACAAGATTATTAGTGGTCGAAATGTTCGGATAGAAGGACGAAAGAATATCCATAGGACTCCTTAATTCCAACACTCTAGAGGGTAGTCGGTTAATGAGGTATGTTGTTGTAAGTACAACACTTCCCCAAAGATACTTCGAAACATTATTTTGGAACAACAACGCTCGGGTTTGGTCAAGAAGATGACTATTTTTTCTTTCTGCAATTCCGTTTTGTTGCGGTGTTTTCACACAAGACTCATGAATTATTCTTTCTTTTTCACAAAAAGGAGTAACGACATGATTGAAGAACTCCTTCCGATTATCAAATCTAATTTTCTTGATATTTGCACCAAATTGATTTTTTATCATTGAGCAAAATATTGGGAGAACAGTACTTACTTCAGATTTATTCTTGAGAAGGAAAAGCCAAGTAACTCGAGTACAATCATCTATGAAAGTAACAAACCATCGAGCCCCGGATAAACTTGAAATAGTAGATGGACCCCAAACATCGGTATGGACTAAATGAAAAGGAACTGTTATTCAAAGGAAAATGTACCCTTTTATGTTTTGCAATTTCACATACTTCACAATGAAGAGTCTCATTTTTCAGCTTAGAAAACAAAGATGGAAACATACTTTTGATAACTCCAAAAGAGGGATGTCCTAACCGACAATGGAAAAGTAAGATTTTTTCTTTACTTGTGAGAAGTGACTCTGACATTAATGAGTAAGACGAGAGACTTTTTGTTGTAACAAGCTGATTTGATTCTTCGAGATAGTAAAGGTCATTCCCTTCTCTAGCATGTCCAATCTTCCTCCCCGAATCTTTGCCTTGAAATATACAATGGGTGTTATGAAAAATTACACTACAAGATAAATTTTTCGTAAGTTTTTGTAGACACTAGGTGTGTAGACAATTTTGGAACATGAAGGATATTTTTTAAGAGAATGGAAGGAGTTATTTGGATGTCCCCAATACCAGCCACTGTTATTAGAGTACCATCAGCAGTGAACATTTTTTTATTACTTGGACTAGGGTGATATGTGGAGAAATAATTGGATGAAGGGGTCATATGGTCGATGGCTCCTAAATCTAAGATCCATGGGGAAGTAGAAAGCATATTTGAGACATTGAACCCAAATGAAATCGGAAGCATACCTGAACATGAACAAGCCAAAGTACAAGCACCTGTTGGTTTGTCCAAGATATTAGGGAAAGTGGGCATCAAATAATTTTTCTCATTTATTTTATATGCAGGCTGTAAGTCCAAGATATTAGGGAAAGTGGGCATCAAATAATTTTTCTCATTTATTTGATATGCAGGCTGTAAGCTCTCTAGTTTTCCAAAGTGATTATTTTGGAATTGAGCATTTCCTCCTCCTCGTGCAAATTGATTTACAATTTCCTCCTCCATTGATAGACAGTTGAAAGAGTATTGGTAATCAAGAAAAAAAAATACAAAGTAGTAAGTACTGACAGTGGCGGTATGAACAGCAACCAGAAAAATTACAAAATTGTACTAACGGCTATCGGAAAGTACAAAAAGTGTTTAGTTGGAAGATTTGACAGCAAATAATGCCCTGTCAAGATTTGAGATTTTTGACAGCAGAAAATGCCCAGCCAAATTTTCTCAATAATTGATGCGGAAGCGAAAGTAGAGTCTCCTAAATCAGGAGCTATGATGCTATGTGAAAAATAAGAACAATATTGCTTTGAATGTGCTTGAGATTCAATGCTATCGGCATAATGCTTAATTTAAATCACGTAGTTACAACTTACAAGGATAATAATTATGTGCAATTTATAAAAAAATAATTAAACTAATACAAATTACCAAGATACATAGAACTTAGTATGCAATGAATTAACTAGGAAAATGCGGAATTAACTAGTTGAAAAATGCAGAATTAAATTATTAGAATTTCCAACAATAAAATAAACTAAACAAACTAACAAAGAATAAGGATGGTGCTAGCTAGAAATGAATAACAAAAAGAGAACACTATACTAGAAAAGATTAGTTACAATCGCCAAACTGTCATTCGAATACCAATAGGAATAAGGTCATTGAATCTCTAAATAGTACAAGCTACATCGAACATAATTTTTTTTTTAAGTTTTAGAGGAAAATCATTCAAAAACTGTTGAAAGTGAGTGTAACAGCCTCTGATGGGCATGACTTTGTTACACAACGGAATCAGAACCAATAAGCTAAGACAAATGTAAAATAAACCTAGGTTTGATGAGAATGCAGTACCCGCAACACTTTCAATGTTAATAAATAAGAGGTACAATGTGATTTATTGGATGTTCGATCATAATAGTATAAACGCTGAAGAAAATTGCACGATCTTCTGAATTAAAATAAAATATTGTCTCTGATGATGGAATCACCAAAATAATTTCGATGATATGCATAAAGGATGCTGGGAAAATGAATATTGTGCAGCAGTCACCACTGTAAGTGTAAACACACTAATGTACTCCTACTTGTCAACATTATATACCAATCATTACTGAAATAACTTAAATTCAAGAACAAACCTATATAATGCAAGCCCTGATCTTACAATCTAACGTGTAGGTTCGCCAACAAAACAATCAGGGCCGTCTTAAGTTTTTAAAGGCCCTGTGTAGGTTCGCCACCGTTTAAATGTGACAATAAATAGGGACTTATTTTGTCTGTGACAAATATTTTATCAGATCCTATTTAGTAATGTGCAGTAGCCACTTCGCACGCCTTTAAAAACGGCCCTCAGCAATTTTTTTTTGTCTTAACCCTCTGGTTCCCAATGGAAATAGGCTCTGGTAATTCGGGGTTCAGCCAGAAAATAAGTAAAGTCTCTTATCAACGATTCTTCCGATCAGGTTTCAAACAAGACAATTAACATAAAAGGTCACAATATTTTAAACTTAGCTATAAAAGTAAGATTATGCAAACAGATATCATAACAAAGCAAGGCAAACCTTCCGGCACTCCTTGTCCGATTAACCGAGCTTTTCTACCAGTTTGCTCCAAAGCTTCAGTCATAACTTTTACTGGCGTCGAACCAAGAATCCTAACAACCTGATTGCTCAAATCCACCTCCACGTTCTTGATTCCTAAAAAAAAAAAAAAACAAGTGAAAACACAAAGAATGATTCAAACCAAACTTAAACTAATAAGCTCTTAAAGAAAAACACGTACCATGAATCGTTTGCAGCTTATTTTTAACCGCATTAACACAACCTTCACAAGTCATATCCACCATATACTCCGTCTAAAACATGAAAGCAACAACAAGCACAACTCAAACGATAAGATATTAATCAAGTATCATAGCTTTGAAAAAAAGAATGAATCGAATAAAGTAAAACTGACGAGTAACTCAGGCAAAACGTGATGATCGATGTGCGAAGAGAGGTTGTGGTCCATTACGAGAGGTGAAGGAGAGGTAGCGAAGGTTTTGACGAGGGCGAAGGGTTTATTGGATTTAGGATTGGAAGGTAAGGCGGTGTTTGGGGATTGGTGTGAATGAGAGAAAGAAGAAGGTGAAGAAAAAGCTAAAGCTGCAACGGCGGTTGCTGTTGTTGTTGTTGCGACTACTACTGGCCTTAGAAATGATGCCATTTGAGTTTAATTACTTTTGTTTATACCGGAACTGGGGAAATGGGTTTGGGGCAGGTACTTTCTCTTTCCGTTGTTTTTTTTTCTTCCTCTTTCTAGCGTCACGGTTTTCTTCCAGATGGATCTACATTTTTCTTTTTCTTATTTTTTCTCTTCCACCCGATTTATAGCTTCTTAAACGTGTCATAATTTTTTTTAGGCTTAAATGCAGTTTTGACCCCCTAGTTTAAGATTTTTGGAGTTTCGATCCCCTAGTTTAAAAGTCAGGTTTCTAGTCCTCAAAGTTTTCAAATTTTGGATTGTTGAAGCCCCCTCCATCTGGCTGCCCAAAAAGTGACATGGCAATGCCACGTATTTTTTTTTTTTTTTAATTTTTTTTTTCTTCTCCTCATGGGTAAAATTAAGGTTCGAAAGAAAAAAAAAATTTGTAAAAAAAAAAAAAAAAAAAAATTAAAAAAAAAAAAAAACCTGGCATTGCCATGTCACTTTTTGGGCAGCCAGATGGAGGGGGCTTCAAAAATCCCAAATTTGAAAACTTTGGAGACTAGAAATCTGGCTTTTAAACTAGGGGATCGAAACTCCAAAAACCTTAAACTAGGGGGGTCAAAACTGCATTTAAGCCTTTTTTTTTAATTATATAATTATAATAAAATCATGCTAGATATATCAGAGTATATAAATAGAATATTAAATTTTTTCAAAAACTCACAAAGTTTTCAATCACTTTATTATTTTATTTCATAAAAAAAAATTAACTCAACAACATAATAATTAAATTGGTTCACTTTCATGGTATTAAATCCTCAATAACAATAAAAACTTCACACGTTTCGTAGTCCAACATAAATATAAAGATAAGATACGTAACGAATAAAATAATTTTAAAAGTATAACAAATTCTCAAATACTGTGTTACGTATCAAAACGACTCATAAGACTCGATCAAGTAATATTCACTCCAAACACTACTCGGGTACCTGATTATATGTACTCCCAGAGGAGCGCAGACACAACAACAAAAAAAGGGTGAGAATTACATTCAATAAATATACAGTGAATATCACATGCTAAGGAGTAGTAATTCACATTATTCACACAATTCACAAGTCATTCACTACTTTACATCACAAACATCATATACACAACACAACATCAAATCATCAAAAACATCATAGAATCGATTCCCGCTTAAAACCAGAGCACTTCACTGTTGCCCCCAATCCACACTATGGGATTGCTGCCTTCACTAGACAATTGTCATATCATCTTCACTGGACCGAAGTCCTAACTTCACTGGACCAAAGTCCTAGAATATGTCGTGAATGTAATGATGCACAACAACATATTTAATATGACCACAGCTAGTCAACACGCATCCCCATTCATGATTCATCACAAACATCATCATAACATCATAGTAATCAACACAACATCTTAACATCATCATAGTAATCAACATAACACCATAATATCATCATAACATCGTCATAAACAAAGCACCATCATAAACAAAACATCATCATAAACAAAACATCATCATAAAAAATATCATCATAAACAAAACATTATTGCGATTCAACGCGGGGAACCTAATTCTATTCTAACTTATGTTTCAGAGGTATACTCTTTAAATATCATTTTTCTTCACATAATTAAAGTTCATTGCGTTAGCTATTCAATGCTTTGAATGACACCTTAATCCGAGCTCTGGAACTAAAGTTATGACCATTTAAAGATTGTCCGACACAACCAACCAAATCTGTCATCTGTCTTCTGGTGACACACCCCCGTCGCCTAGCGACGCACCGTTAGCATCCACTTCACCCGACGATGCTAGAAGCAGCGCACTCCAGAAGCGTTATCCCTTTTCCACCTCTTTCAGCGCCTCGTCCTCGCCTGACGACGACCAAAAATGCACGTGTCGACGATACTACTTTCATCGCTTGACGTGATGCACAAACAAGATTTTCCTGTTGTAATTTATGCATTACACCAGTCTAAATCTCCAGCAATTTCATCATACTACATATCCTAAAACACTAACTAATCACAAGGTTTCATTATTTATCAACAACCTATAATTCTATACTCATTATACATTAATTATAAGTCATTATCCATCATCAATTCATCAATTTCTCACCAAATGATACCAAATTACCATCTACCAAAACCTAAGGCAATTTACCAAACATATAAACCTTAAATCAAATATAATAACAATGATAAAACTCCCCTTACATTAAGGTTATTGCTAGAGATCAATTCTTCTTCGTGCTCTACCAGGATTCCTATGCTTTTCTTGCCTCTTTGTTCCCTAACTCTCTTTTCTCCACAACATTCTTCCAAATTCTATCGTATAGAATGAGCGTGTAAAATCCAAAACCTTCTCCTTTTACCAAGCTTTCCCTCTTAGACCCCTAATAATGAACTTCCCATCATGCCCTCACGTATCCTTCACTAATGACCACAATGCCTTTATTTTCTCTACATCTCATATTATTCTATTTATTTAAATCCAAATAATTCTAAATAATCTCTATTAAATCTAAATAATTCTAAACTAATTATTTAAATTCTAAACCCTCTTATTATTCCATCCTACACCACACAATTCATCATTTTAGACATTTTATTCATCAAGTCATCGATATTACATCACAGATGCATCACGAATACACATCATATACCGTCACAGTGACTAACACAAAGCACTATATATATATATATATATATATATATATATATATATATATATATATATATATATATATATATATATATATATATATATATATATATATATATATATATATATATATATATATATATATATATATATATATATATATATATATATATACACCAAATACTTCACAGAGACTCATATATTTACACTAAATTAATTAAATAAATAATTAATATGAAATTCGGGGTGTTACATTACAACTCTCCCTCACTTAGAATATTTTCGTCCTCGAAAATTATCTTATGCGAACAATTCAGGATAAGACTCCTGCATCTTGCTCTCTAACTCTTAAATCATACTTTCTTCGGCTGCTCCTCCCCAAACTACTTTCACAAGAGAAATTTCCTTGCCCGTCAACTTCTTCATTTCACATTTTTCGATTCTCACCAGTAAGGTCTCAACTGTAAGGTTATCTCTCACTTGCATGCCATCCATTGGAATCATATGAGATGGATTCGAAATGTACTTCCGAAGTTGCGACACATGGAACGCATCGTGCAAATTCGAAAGGTTAGGAGAAAAGTCCACTCTATAAGCAACAGTTTCCACTTTGTCCGAAATCTGATACAGATCAATGAATCGAGGAGTAAGCTTCTTTGACTTCAATGCTCGTCCAACACCGGTCATTGGCGTGAATCTCAAAATTACACGATCTCCCTCATGAAATCCAAGGTCTTTCCTCCGCCTGTCATGGTAACTCTTCTGCCTACTCTGTGAAGTTTTCATTTGTTCCCTAATTAGCTTCACTTTTTTCGTAGTTTGTTGAATAATTTCTGGTCCAAGTACTCTGCTTTCACCAGATTCATACCAATACAACGAAGTCCTAAACCTTCGACCATAAAATGCCTCAAATGGTGTCATTCCAATGCTAGAATTGTAACTATTGTTATAAGTGAACTCTATCAATGGAAGATAATTATCCCACGTTTCTCCTTGTTCAAGCATGCAAGATATCAACAAATCTTCCAACGACTAAATAGTCCTCTCCAACTGTCCATCTGTCTATGGATGACATGTCGAACTTAATTTCATCTTAGAGCCCAACGCAACCTGCAGACTCTCCACAAATCCAGAAGTGAACCTTGGATCTCTATCAGACACGATGCTAGATGGAACACCATGAAGCTTCACAATCACGCGAATATAAATCTCCACCAACTCTGGTACCGGAAAACTGATATTGATCGAATTAAAATGAGATGACTTTATTAGCATATCAACAATCACCCAAATTGTATCATGCCCCCTTGAAGTACTTGGAAATCTCGTCACAAAGTCCATCAATATATTATCCCATTTCCACTTCGGAACATCTAACAGTTCCAACAACCCCGTAGGTCTCTGATGTTCGACTTTCCACTTCTGGCAAGTCAAACATGTAATAACAAGAAGTGTTCTACACCTGTCCTTAATATTTTGATGATAACTTTACATGTTATCTTTAAAAACAGTTGTATACTCTAATGGTTTTTTCTAGTGTGTAGATGTTGTTGTAATGTTCTGACTTTGGTATCAAGGTCTATGACGTCATCAGGTTCTGAACATACACTACTGTAAGAAAACACATGGATACGTGTTACAGTTGAAGTCAAGATTCTGAATACGTCTTCTGCAACATGTCTTAGGAACGTTAGTACAAGAGGTTCTGATTGTGACTTTATGGTTAAGCTTTGAAGGCCTTCTAAATATTTACTTCTGTATGTTACAAGTTCTAAAGATTATGAAGACGAGGCTCTGCTGAACAAGTTCTGATGATCTGAAGATAAACAAGTTCTTACAACCAAGTGTTGAAGACTCTGAAGACAAGATTCTGATAGGACAAGTTCTAAAGACTCCAAGAATTTGGTTCTAAGACTTAAGAGTAATTCTTCTACAACAAGCTTCAACATTCAAATTTTCTGAAGCCTCTGAAGATAAGAAGAAGTTCAAAATGGTTAATGTATGATGGTGTACAAAAGGTACATAATGTGTTTTTAACCTCTACTCTCTAGGGTGGCGTAAGGAAAGTCCTTTTCTATACTATACTATGACCACTCTTATTATGACAGTTGAGAACAAATAGTTGGATTTTTTATTACCTTTCTACCCTTTCAACATATCTCTTTTACAAGATATAAAAGGAAGACTTGGAATCTGAAGAAAAGTAAGAACCAACATTAAACAAAATATATCGAATTAAATTAAGCTCAAGCAAAACTACACAAAGCAATGTGCAAACTCTTTAGAGAAAATCTTTTGTGTATAGTTTTGTAAA